TTTCCAGTGACAAAATGACAGTTCCCATGCTGCTGCTCAGCTTTGGCTTTTGCTGGTGCTGGCAGAGTCTAAGGGGCATGGGATCTACAGAGCCCACACATCCACACCAGGTGGTAGGAATTTCAGCATGCCTGCCTGGAGACAAGACTGCATGCCTATACATACATGAGTAAATGCACAATCAAGCTTTTGCCTGTTTGCTTTTAACCTTTGTTATTTAAAAAAAAAAAAAAAAAAAAAAAAAGGGGGGGGGGAAGAGCAGCCCCTAGTAATCCCCCTGGTTCTCTGTGTTGCAAAATTCTTCTTTTGACTTTTTTTTAAACCTAGGTTTTTTAAATGGCAGACAAAGGGCATTATTCAGCTCCAGCAGAGTAAAGAAACCTGTGGTTGAAGTACAGCACGCTTAGTAATTTAGCTGAAAAACAAAACACTTCAGCACTCACATCATTGCCATTAAAAACTATATAAATATGGAAATTATTTCCAAGTGTTCCAAGTCACTCAGGAGTGGCTGCATTGGACAGTAAAGGGACAGGCTAGGACAGTGCTTGGTTAGTCTCCAGGCCAAGGTGCACAGTCCCCCTCCAGGACTGCTCTCTTCACTCACACTCAAGGTTAAGGAAGAAGGAATATGCTGCACCCAATGAGACAGAACTGCATCAAGGATAGTCTGAACAGTCCTGTATCCTGGGGACCTTTCACATTTGCTCCTCCACTGCCTGCAGCTCCACCCAGTGCAGGAAGAGGTGGCCAATGCACCCTATGACTGCACTGGGGTGCTAGTACAATCATTTACCACTGTGAGAATTAAAACGTATCAGAAAAGAAAAATTAAGCAAAGGAAAAAGAAAAAAAAAGAAAGAAAAATCTTATTTTATAAATTCATCAGAGCATCTCAGATTCATCACTGTGATCTAGAAGAGACATTGCCTAACACAGCTTGTACCACTTGGTGGCAACACTTCCATGTTTGATTTATTGAACCTTCTCATCATCACTCTACTGATATTTGAAAGAACAAATTAAGCACTGATCTGCGCAATTAACTATTGCTGAGAATGAAGTTTCAAGTGACTTTCCTACTATTCTCTGTGCAGGAGTCATACTAAATAGATTACAAGAGTATGTTGCTTTAGGTCCTGACATATTTCTAATAAGAAACTTTCACATATCACAGAAGCATTGCTGCACAGCCATGTAAAGCAAGCTCTTCTTCAATACCAACAGAAAATAATTTCAACCAGAGCCATGAAAAAAAGAGCTGACCAATGGCTTGCAGAGCATTAGGTGTTCTTGGAAGATGGGGTGGGATAGCAACAAAGTTCTCCATTTCAAGTGTGTTTCAAAATCGCAAGTACATATCCAAATGTCATTCAAGCTGTCAGTACAAAAAAGCTGTAATCTTGCACGTTGCCCACAAAAAGCCATGTCACAGTCCTCTCCTGCACTTTACTTTTTATTTGCAAGACTCATTTTTCAAGCAAAAGTCATCCAGTACCTGCTCATCTTCGGATCTCTTTTGCTAAACCTGATGTAATGTCAATAACTGCCAGAATCGTTGGATGTGAAGAAGAGAACTCCTGTTTGCTACAAGGGAAAAAGTCAGCAAACTGAAGGGCACTGAGCCTGCACATGCAGTTTGATGGTGACTGTTCTGCTTCTGGTCAAGACTGCAATGTGCCACCCCAAGGCTACTGAGTGGCAGGCAAAATATCTCTGTGAACAGCAGTGCAAAGGCACACAGGAGCCCAGTGTAACAACAGAGGGGATGGCAGCATGTTTCCATCCCACCCAAAAAGCTGAGCCTGCCTGTAGAGGATACACCATCTGTTGAGACAGGAGAAGCCCCCACATCCTCCAAAATGGCCCCATCTACATCTTCTGACTGCAATTTGCTGACAAGGGGAATGGAAGGAAGCTGAGACTCCAACAATTTTCTTATGTTCCCTGGGCACGTTCACAGAGACTAAGCAAAGGAAATACATTAACAATAAGGGGGGAAACATTTGGCTTATGATATTAATGTATTTATAGCAGCCAGAAAACTATAGGTCCCAACCTTATATAAAATTTTGACAGACTGCCAGTTCTAAAAGTCAAAGCAAGTCTGCAAGAGTAAACCATAGTATTTAATATGAGTTATGAGCACACCTAGGCTCAACTGCTAGTATCCCAACTGCTTGCATTTACAGTCATGTTAGTTAACACATTTCCATTCACACGTGCTGAAAGGATTAATGACTCAAGTGAGAATTTACTTGCAATATACTTGCAAATCAACACAGCTTTGCATAGGGAAGTAAAACGTTCAACAGAAATAGCAAATGCTGACTTCCATGTGGATATGCCTCTTTCTCTTTAGCCAGGACATGAAGTGGGGGGAGAGAAAGCAGCTTCCCCCTTCAAGATCTCATATGTTCTCAAAGGATAACTTTAGATAACCCAGTGTATATTTCCTCCTTGTTCCCTTTTACCCCCAATATTATATCCATTTGTGAAGAATAATTGAAAGCGACCTAAAAGTCAACCTCTCACAGAAAACAGAGAGCCCAATCAGCTGCACAGATGCGCTGAGCAGGAGTGAAAACAGGATGTAACCCTGGTCTATATCTGTTCTTGGCTCTACCTTGAGGTCCAAAAGGGGCACCAGGATCTGAATTCTAGCTCCTCAATTTTAGGCAGGAAGAGGAGGAAGACAATCCATAGCCTTAGGCACTATTTCAGAAGATTTAGGCATCAAATAATAGGGTAAGTGTAACCTGCCTGAACTGAACAGGATCCTTGTCCCACCATCGCCATGAGTGATGTCATCCTCTTACCCAGCATGAGATGGCACAACCAGCCCCTGGGTACAAAAGCAACAGAGACCTTATTGCTGCAGAAACTGCTCCCAGAAAAAGAGAAAGGAAAAAAAAAATAATAATAATCCCTTCCACCTGCATCACTCCTGGTAGAAGCTTCTGCAGCCACACCTCTGATGGTGGTATCGCCATAGCCCTTTTAGGTGCACAGTGCTTCGGCATCCCAGCTTTAAGAAAGCTTTTCCTAGTGGCTAACCAGCAACTTCCTTACTGTGATTTTATTCCATTACTGTTGTCATCTGACACAGGTATTAAGAACAAACTATTTCCTTATTCTTTGTAGTAATTCTTTTCTGCATTTTAAGACTAATTGTGCTTTCACTTCATCCTTCTCCCCACTCTCTTTATTCCTAGAAGAAACAATCACTGTTTTAAGGTGTCCCAGAGGGTCATGTTCTGTAGGTCTCTGATCTTCTCCCCACCCCCTCCCCCTCAACTGACTAATAGGAGAGCAATTTTTTCTCACAACTTTCTTGAGGAATGCTGAACTGCAATTTTCCAGTTCAGATAAATTTACTCTTGAATCAACAAAAATTCATTTGCTCCCTAGGAAATGGAGAAACCACAGTGGGTTAACCACAAAGGCTATGATCCCTCATCAAAAGGACACACACTGTAAAGCTGAGTACTTGGGATCTTTTGGTGTGTGAATGAAGCCAGCCTCCTTGGGCAAGCCTGGTGTCAAAACACTGGCATCTTGCTTCACAGCATGAGCAACTAAGAACAGAGAGACAGCTCCACTTTCCTCTACCATGCTTCATGGAGGGCCCAGGAAGCTCTGCACTTATATCTCAGTCATGAGGTATGACCTACACTTGGGCACTCTGAGCCACATGTGTGTTGATTGTTACATTAACAGGGTCTGCATCAGCTGAGCTGGAAACAATGGTGACTCAGAGCTTGCCACAGCAGATTCAGCTCCACAATATCCATGCACAGGGACAACAGCACAAGGAGCTGAAAATAAAGCATTCAGTGTCTCTCAAACCAAAGCGAGATACCTGCAGGTGAGGGCCAACACTAGGAGTGCGAGCAAAAATAAACATTTTAAGATAGAAATCAAAATAACTTTTGTGTTGACATTTGTTTTAAAACTAAAGACATAATTATCCCGTTGTGAGCCTTGGCTACAGAGAAAAACATCTTGTTGGGAACTAATTAAAGAATTAGCCAGTGTTTAGCTTCTTATAGATAAAGGAGCATAAGCTTTGAAACAGAAGTGTTTGCAGTGAGCTTTTGAAAATTCTCTGAAGACAGCTGAGCTTAAGTCTGCTAAGCCTCTTCCCTTGCTCACTACATGTCTGTTCAGATGTCTTATTTCTTTTCCTTCCTTTCACACAAGAGAAGCCACTGGTACATCTTAACAACAGATACTACCTCTCCTGATCAGAGCTGTGCTATACACGGAGCAATGTTGTACATCACAGCAATGATGCATCCAGTGAACTACTGTAAAAGTAGTAAATGTGTCAAAGTTACATTAACTACAGTGTTTAGTAAATAAAGAAAATCCCACTGTGGCTGCATTCCACAACACCCCTCTAAGTTCATAGCCTAACCAGACCTAGTGGCCTTCTGCAGCCACTCTTGCTCCACCAGTCACAGACCAGGACCTGCAACACACAGCACAGCCCCAGCACCACACCCACAAATCCTATGAATTACCATGACACCCGCACATCAGGCTTTAAATACAGAAAGGCAAACAGCAAGGATATCACTGTTTTATCCCCTCTGTATACTGCATATAATTATTTTGTACAACAACTTACTGTTCTGGGAACAGATCAGCCACTTAGACAGCGCTTAACCACAATGTGGGAGCTCCAATTCTCCTCTTGCTTGAAGAAGCCTGTTTTTCCTCCCTGCCTGAAAAACTGCACTAAATTGTTTTTTCTTACTTTTCTGGAAATGCTTTCACTTCATGTTCAAAAAGGAAATCAAATCTTGATTGCTTTCTCTCTTAGGTTCCTTGAATACAACACACATTAAAACAAAGACATTTTTTCCAACTTAATGCGAGTTGCATTCTCTGTCTTGGGATTTAAAAAGCATCAATCATCATCAGTAATTTGCACATCATTGGAAATTGCACAACTAATTACCCAATATGAAAAAAAACCATAAATATATAATTACCTTATAGGTTGAATACGGAAGTTATGTAGTCCTCCTGAATATCAGAAGCCTTTCAGCGTCACACATTGTTGGCCCTCTCCCATCAGTGCCTGAGATCAGGCCCAAAACCTAACACAGGGCTCCTAGGTAGGACAGATGCACACTGCACAACCACACAAAGACACACAGCTATGCCTTACTCCTTCTGAACAGTCTATACAGCCACCAAAAAAGCACTAACTTCCTTGGGAAGAGGCTCCAGAAATATATTTTCCAGAACCTGCTGTAAACCACCCCATGGCTGTGCTTTGCCCCAGAGAAGCACGTGATGAGACATGACCTGCAGCTGAGCTAAATCCAAACCACACCCCTTTTGTCCCTACTTCATGGGGGTCTCAGGTGTAGGCAATAATGCTGTGCTGTAGCACAGCTAGCAGAGAGCTGGGCAGGAGAATGGCGCATATGGGCCCATGGAACCACAGCTGTGTCTGACTACAGCATATCAGCCTGGCCCCTCCTGAGAATGGCACTAGGAAAGCTTAGTAAATCTGCATCCCTGGTAGGTGACGTACTTCTGCACTGTCTAACTCTCCTCTCCTCCAGTTTACCTAAGTTTTTTTTTTTAAAAAAAAACAAAACAAAACAAAACACAACTGACTTCAAAGATGTGCCTTTCTGGAGTAGTAAATGTTTTTAGCTATAGATCAGCCTATAGATCATAGCTCCTATGTCAGCCCTGGTAGAGGGAATTAATCCCTTCTGTGCACTGGAAACCTAGTATGTTTTTCCTCTCGTAGCTAGGAAAAGAACCTGGAAGGTTATCTGAGCCATAACAAAGACTTGATGGAAAAATTGCTGCTGTCTAAACTATTCTCCTCTCAAAACATGTGCTATATCATTTTACTTTGCAGTCTTTTTAGGAAAAAATAACTGTTTTATAATATCAACATTAGTTGCTACTAGGAGTGCGACTGAGTTTTCTCAAATTAACTCCCTTTGGAAATGACACTTCCCTCTGGCTGTGCAGAGAAACAAACAGTCACTCACAGCTCTCTGGGACTGGAGGAGCCCAGGATGCTTTCATCTCCAAACTTCCTGCAAGCAGCAGCTGCTGAGTCTGTTACAGCACCTTGGAGATGCAGCTGGTTCCTTGTACTGGTGCTAGAGCAAGCAAGAGGGAATGATGTCAGTAATGTCATCTTTTATCAGCTATAAGAACTCAGCATCCTCTGTTGAGGAACAATCTGTGAGCTCTCTGGCAGGACAGTTTGAGTACCTAGGGTACACGTAAGGGAGGGGCACTGCTGAGTGTCACACCAGCCTGCCTGTTACAGGCTGCCTGTGACACTGAAGCTAGGGGAAAGCCACCTCTTTGCATAGCTTCAGCCCAATCTGCAGTACTGGGACAGATGTTTCCCCAAAATAGAGATTCATCTCTTCTCAGGCCAGGGTCTTTTTGCTGTGCTGCTAGCTCATCCTATGCAAATCTCCTACACCCACTTGCATAATGCTTTGAAAGAGACCTCTGGTTGGGGGGTGCCTCCAGCCCAGCATCCTGGCAGGAGCTTGGAATTAATTAACTCTCTGTGACAGCAGCAAGGGAGGTCATTGCTACACACTGTAAGCCCAAACAGACACTTGGGCTCCCACTCTTAGGTTGGTAGGTGGGCTTCCCCAGCTGCCCCAAGCTCTCCTGCAGCTCCAGGATAACATGATGGTGACCACTATTTCCAGACTTCCAGAGAACCTTCTCCCTCACCCCAGGAGCCTGCAGCACTGCCCTACAGTTAACTCCTGTGCCAAGCCCATACTTGCTCTCCCCTCTTGCTGGTATGCACCCTGCTAGCAGAGGAACAACCAAAGTGGCCTTCCTCAATGACACCAATAGCACCACAGGGCAAAGGGGGCTGAGATAGCTTTTCCCAACACTTCTGAACAGTGCTGTCCCTTCAGCCACTTATTTGCTAGCTGGAGAATTTGGCTGATAGTTTTCCAGTTGAGATTTTGCAGGACTGCACACAGCATGATGGTGTTTGAAAGATCGTGCTGCAGCAATTCTTCATAGATCACGGGGCATAAGGGATTGGGAAACTGCCTCAACTTCATGTTTCTGGAATTTATTAATAGCAATAGTGACATCAGAGGGGCAAAGCTTGCAAGGGGACGCAGTGATTTTTATTAATCAAACTGACACAGTTGGGAAAAAAAGGGACACATCCAGGCACAGAAGCCTGTCGGTTTAAATGCATTGGCTCCATTGTTTGGTGATCTTTCCTCATCCCCAGTGCTCTAGTTAAAGCTCCATTCTGATCTTGTTACTTTGACATATTATAGCACAAGGGTCTCATCAGGTATAAGCTGAGAAACTGTCAAAATTAAAGGAACTAATATGCTCCCACCTGCCTCCCCTCCTGGTCTGTTAGCCTCTGGAATACTGGCCTAGATCAGACACCACTAACTGCCTCCTCTCCCACTGCAGCAAGTTCTTCCCCGCTGCTTGGTCAGCAAATGAGCACAGCAGCACGCTGCCACTGCCTGGGTGTCCCCACACCAGAATTGATTTTGGGACTGTAGGTCATCTATGTGACCTACTGCCATTTATTTAGTAGCCCCAGCACTACTGAGATAAGGACATACAGATGAAATTATCCTTTTTTGATAGGCAGGAAAAAAACGTTTCTACGCTTTGTGAAAGTGAATGGTTTTTCTAACTCCCTGAAGTGGAAATATTCCACAGAAACGAAATTGTGTGGGAAAGGGAAATCCATTTTTACTACTCTCTTCCACTGTCGTGCTGCTTTGTAATTTCCACACTGCAGTCTCTGATACAAGATGCATTCTCTGGAGTCATGGGAATGCTGAGTGCAAATATATTTAGCCATATCTCTTTGGGTAGGTGGGGGAGTAAAGGGGACCCCTAAATAGCTGTAAGATAGAAATTTAATATAAGCATATTTGCTTTGGAGAAGGTTTAGTCCAAACTGCGAGAAAAGACAGCAAGGTTCTTGGCAGCTGGATGGCCAACAGCCAGTTTCATCCAGAGTTCTCCCTATAAACCTCCCTTAGTAATGAGTAAGCTCAGAAGAAACTCCCCTGCTTCCCAGGGTCTTTTCCATGTGCTCTGAGCCCCCCTTCACAGCCCCCCTTCACATTAGCATGTTTAAAAGAAATTAAAATGATAAGTCACCCAGAATTGTTCCCCACCACCCAAAAACTGAGAGTCAAATCCAAACCCTCCACAATATACAGACTGTTTCACTTGGGTAGATCTTACCATTCACAACATTGCAAAAGCATCAGAATAGTTCACAGCTCATTGTAAGATATTATTCTGTTACAACAGCTAAGTGAAAATATCCTGGCTTTAATTCAACTTCCTTATAGAAATTTATAGAAACCTCCCCCACAGCTGCAGGAGAAAACTCTGGGATTCAGTCTGAAGGAGTAGCAGAGGTATAAATGGATGTTGTTAAAAATAAAGCTATCAGAAGAAAATTGACTCCTGAGAACATTATCTGGTTCAACAGAAACGTGAGAGCATATAAGCATTTCAAGAAGAGGGTAGAAATGTACATAACTTCAGAATAGCAGGAAGTGACCAAGGGAACTTGCCAATCTGATGGCAGCAAACAGAGCTCTGCCCTGGCCGCTGGGACAGAGGCAGCTGCTGCTGACAGTGTCACCTCTGTGCAGTACTTTATCCAGCCAAATGCCACTGTGTGTGCCCACTGCAACCCTAGCCCCAGGAAGACACGAGACCAAAAAGATTTGCACAGGACCACATGACCCAGTGTTTATTGACTCCTGCCATACTTTTTCTTTAGAAAGAATAACAGGAACACAAAATGTGATGCATGATAAAATACTACTACAGGTTTCCGTATCAATCCAATGCAAAGTGCCAGCATTGTTGACCAGCATACAACCTGACAAGAGAAGATGTAGTCATAACTCACTCTCAGATATCTGCTGGGAGTACATAACAGTCAAAGTAGAACTAGTTATTTGCCTGCAAATAGATACATTTTCTTCTAGATGCAAGTGGTGTTAGAGCCAGCTGTTTTGCAACAGCAGTATATATATATATATATATATATATATATATATATCAACAACTTTAAAAAACTCAGAAGGAAAGGACTAAAGCTGCTTAAAGAGAAAAAAAGAAAAGGAAAAAAAAACCCAAAACAAAGTGGGCCTCTAAACATTTCTTTGTTGAGGCCATTTGTCATAGAACCAGAAGTAATCAAGAGAAAATGAGACTTATTAGAGGCTACTGTGCCCAAATAGTCTGCAAGTTTTGCTACAGGTTCATTACAAATAGCCTCTAGACTACTTAACTGTCTCCTGGCCTTTTTCCTTCCTGCATAACAAACCTCATCTATCAGAAACTGTGGCCTGGTGGCTCTGCATATTTCCTAGCACACCCTGATTTGAATGAAATTGCATTTGGAAAGGCAAATATATTTCCTAAAGAGCCACGATAAACTGCAGGACATGTACATGTGGCATGTAGCATCTCCACAAATATGAATGAAGAAGGCACATTACCTAAAATTGAAAAGCTTTTGAGCACTAGAAGTTAAATGCCTTTTCACAACTGGATGAGAAGTGCTCTTTGGCCATTAATGTTTCAGCCACTTTACCATGAAGACAAAACCCAAAGAAAGGAAGGAATCTCCTTGAAATGCCTTCTGCTGCCCCAAGAGTTCTTATACAATTACATTCCCACAGAACAGTTTGCCACTATGGGAAATCTACATAGAAAACATTAGACTGGATTCCTACAAGACCATCAATCACCCCACCACCACCCAATTAAATTACAACATCTTTGAGGATACCACTCCACTGACCTGGAAAGGGAAAGTTCTGGAACAGAAGACAGGAATTGGTTTCAATATTTTTTGTTGTTGTTGTTGTTGTTTTGTTTTTTGTTTTTTTTGTATTTCACTACAGTGTTAACAAAAAAGAAGGCAATGTTCTCTGCCACAGGATAATTGTTTTCTCTCCTCTATCTAGACCAGGAAAATATAAGCTAAAAATGAAAAGTATGTACTTTATTTACAATAAGTGCATCTATACTGTTCCAACCTCCATTTACCACGTGCTGCTACCCACTGGTGAAGGTAGATGGTAGCTCGTAGTAACCAAAGTACCTTTCTTTCCCAAACTTTATGCAAGTCCTTTCCCTTCCACCCTATCATTTTTCCACTGTTCTAGGCTCCAGTGAGATTTGTACTAATATCTTCCTACTGCACTGTTTTAATGTTACAGTTTCCAAATGCAAACAAGACTTGATCTGCTCTACTTTAGCTGTCATTGCCTCACTTAAAAGTACACAGAAGTTTAAAACTCATGCTCCATTCCCAGTTTTGCATAGTAATACAACAAGATGAAATTTTTTCCTCCCACCTTTTATATATCAATCCTCAGTTTGACCCTTTCAGAGAATTTGACACCTACCGTCTTCCAAAGGGTTACCTCTCACACTTGGGGAAGAGACCTAACTTTCTCCACACACAAACATTGAAGAATGAGAATTTCAAGTCATCATTAAGTTTCTTTCAAGTCTATGTTGCGTTATTTAGATGCAAGTGAAGCAGAATAATGTTTTTCCTAAGATTAAAGGACATCAATCAAATTATCTGTCTTTTCGTAGTTTTGAGTTATGAGACTGTTTGTGACATGTTCCCTCATATTCCTCCCTTAAGGTGCACAACCAGGCTGAATAAAGTCCAGTCCACACAGCCAAAGCTAGATCTCTGGGAGAAGACAGAGAGGATGAGGGGTTCCATAGCACTACTGTATTTACATTCAAAATTCAAGAGCAGGCTGAAAGATGCCCAGCTTTTTCTAACACAAAACTGTTTAAGAAATACTCCATTTCTATTATTATTGTTTAGCATAAGGGAATTTATATCTTTTTTGTCCTTTGTAGCTGTTACCCTTTTGTCATTGTAGCTTAACAACAGCCACTGCATGCGTCCTGTTCATCCTTTAGCTGAGGTGCAACAGACCCAGGCCCACTGACAGCACAACAGCCTGGCATGGTGTGGCAGACTGGTCCGAGTACTGGCAGCACAGGAAGACCACCTTGGCTACTGTGAACAGGTGGCACAGAAAAAGCTCTCAGCTCCATTAAGAGCTATTCCAAACTGCACAGTAAGTGCTGGTTATATGCTGTAGCTTAAACAGATTGGACATAACTCAGCAGTTACTCATCTAACTTTTTAGAAAATAATGGAGAAAAAACAAAGTGCTTTGCCAATTGAATAATCTGTTGTATATCTCATGGCTTAAACATAACAGAAGTAGTTACCTGGCATAACAGAATTGAAACAGAATCACTGTTTCATTCAAATTTCATACACATGCAAACAAAGCTAAACAAGTGTCTTAACTAGGGATAAGCAGCACAGAAATCAACTTCATGTCAACAGTCATTACCATACATTTGTCAGACGTGTATTTCATTTCAGATTCACATCTGTATCATACAAAATATGCCTGCTGGAGAAGAGTCATTAAAAAGACATTCAACTCTACATAACTGTTGGCCTTTAGAGCCAGTGCTTTCTGCGCCATCAGCCTTCAAAGTTTACTGAATTTCTGGGAGGAAACAGCTGCTTTAAAAAAAAGTTAAAATAGAAAACAAAACCAATCCAGCTCAGAACAGAAAGGGAATGCTTTTACAAACGTGTGGACTGATGCATAACCACCACCCTCTCTAGCCTGGGACAGAAAGAGAAGTGCAATGGCACAGCTCTAACACAAAACAATTGAACTCCAAGAAATGTGATGAAGACAGAAGTCTGTTTGGAAACTCCTGCTACAGAAGAGCTGAGCCAGTGTTCCATATAGGAAAGCTGATAAGCGGTCCATGAACAAGCTCATGTGGGACATACAATAGGAGACCCTAAAAAAAAATCCAGTTTAATATCACATTTCCAATATCTCTCCTTGCCCATCAGCAGTCTGCCGCAGACTTTAAACTTGCAAAGCTCCTTTATATTGAGCTAGATTTATATTTTTTCCCCAGTAAAGTGCAAATAAGACTCAGGTTTTTCCCACTAGTTCCAATGATTGTTACCTTGGTTACAAAAGTGATCACAAGCCAGTTGGTCGAGCCACTACCACTAGGCTTCTTTTTTTCTTTTCCCTTTTACTTATTTATTTTTAAATTAAAACCCTGGTTACTTTTTCCAGCAAAAGGCAAATAGAAAACAACAGTTCCTTCTGCCAGATGCAGGCATGACAGGAGGCTGCCTTAAGTACCATCAATACAAGATGCACATGCTAGACAGAGACACAACCAGTGCGTTCTTGTGCATAACAAAAATGTGCCATGGTTCATTGGAAATAGAAGTCATCTTTGGGATCCTATTTCTTCACAAAGTTCAGAAATAGTTGATTAGTTTTCATTAAGAGCTGCTTCTCTCTTCCTTGCATCTAGATAAAAATAACCGAGAAAAGCCATAGTTAAGTCAGAGAGTTCCAGTAGCATACATCCAAAACCAGAAACAGAATAAAGATAGTTCGTTTTCAATGGATAGCACTTCCACTTGAGACTCTTGATATGAATTCATCATGTAGACTTAACTGCTACATGAACTCACAACATGTTAGCAAGATAGTCCTACTAAGGTTTTGTTTTGTTACCATGCTGATGCTGAATATAAGTTATACATCATTTAAGTAGCCCAGTAATCTTTCAGAGACTCCAGATCTGTGGTAATTTTTTCCCAACTCTTGGCTCCTTGCTCATAATCCCATCTAAGAATGAAGTCTGTATTTGTTCTGCCTGCCAGCTACAGAAATGACAGCAGTCTGTTCTGAAAACCATTTGACTAATTATGATTTTGATGGTCTCCAGCTGAGTAGCACACACTTGAAAAAGAAAGAATACTCTTGATACTGCATTCTGAGGAACTGCCTGAGGCAGTCCCTAAAGACCAGAAATGAAACTGATCCAAACAACGCTTTGAGCATGAGCATAGGGCAAGAGAGCACATCTGGATACTCAGTCCCCTACTTGTATGCTAGTACTACAATACCAGGTGCTGCAGACAGGAAGGCTGGAGTCAGGTCATCCTGGGGTTCCACATAAATGTCTCTGGGATGATTTCAGGCCATCTGTGAAACTAGCTGAAAGCAGGCAGTGCATGGAAAGCACTATTATCACAGCTACTCTAGCAAACTGTCTGCCAAAAGGTGTGCTTGTATGTGTTTATAAACTTTTTTTCTTTCTAACTTCGATAGTCTATACATTCCAAGGTCATTGTGAATGTGTCCACCAAGAGGTTAATCCTAAAGTACAATTAACATCTCAGCCATAGTTTTAGAAGAAAAATAAAAAATCACCTATTCCATACTCCCCATCAAGGTTATTGAGGCCAGGCCTTAATTTTCTACTTTCATAACTGTCCTAATTCATCTCAAATCACTAGTCCTAAAAACTAAGGCCTTACTCATCTAACTACAATATTTTGTAAAAGTCATACCAGTTAAGTTCCTGAACTTTTTTTTTGCTTCTGCTCTTTCTTCAGCATCAAAATACCACACGGTCATGGCATATCTATAAAAGAAAGAAATCTTGTGTTTGGTTCAAATTTTGTTAATAAGTTTAATTCTTATAAGAAATCAAACAATAAAACAATTGAATTCATAAATCAAAAAAGGATACAAATGGCACATATTTGAAGACAAATACAGATAGCACTTCATATGTGTATTCAAACAAGTAAGATAGAAATACAGGTGAGAATTTCTGCTTGAAAGCATAAAAGAGTGCACAGCCCCTGGTAACAGAGGGCAAAATAAGTCACAGACTTCTGCATGCTTTTCTGTTCTGGGATGCCTTTAGGCAGCTTGGAGCTGCCTATGTCACATCAGCTTTTCATAGCCTGGTGACAGACGGTAGCCCCAAGAATCCCTGTAGTGTTATAAGGGCAAAAGTGTGACCCAACATTTCCCAGCTAAACAGCTATGACCAGTTTGGAAGACTTCTGTCACTGGCAAAGGACTTTTTTCCATCACACAAAGAATTTATCTTTCAAACTTGCTATTCTTCATTTGATGAAATTCTAGTAACTGAAAAATATGAAATCTATTCAAAATCTGGCTATCTACTTTTTATGCACATATGTCTTAAAACAAATACTCAACAGCCCTAATTTTAGATACAAATGATGTGTATTGGTAGAAGCCATGCTTTGCTTTTTCCTTGAAAACTTCAGCATCAAATGTACCTGGTTGCATAAGAAGGCTGGACTTCATGAGGGTTCCTTCGATCTGACCAGAAAAAAAGCAACCTGTCAAAAATCGGCTCAACATCTGCTACATAGGACTTCCCTTCTGGGAATATTCGAAGAATTCCACCATGGAGCTGGAAGAAAAGGAGAAGTTATTTGTTACACACATAAACAGCCACATATTGATAAAAGTAACAACTTATTTTCACCTCCACACCATCCAAACATAGTAAACATTTAATAATAACTAAGGCAGCTATATGACAACACTGGAACTGTACACTGTGTTTCCTGGCCACCTCAACTTTCAAACAGTTTGTAATGTTTTAGCATAGATATCTGGGTAAAGTAAATGATCCAAGAAAGAAAACAGTGACCCTGTCACAAATGCCCAGAAACTTTTGAGTTTCCAGCTACACCTCTGGAAGCAGTGGATGCTGCAGGGCAGGTAAGGATGTTCTACTTCAGTGTAAGATCACAGTCTCCTCTCAGCAACTGCAAGAAAACTGGTTATGGTATTTCAGAGCCTGTATTTTGTAGAATCACAGAATCCTTAGAATCCTAAGAAGGAATCTTTAACGTTCATCTAGCCCGGTTTCCCTGTAATGAACAGAGACATCCACAGCTAGATCATTTTTCTCAGGGCCTGATCCATCCTCACCTTGAAAGTCTCCAGAGACAGGGCATCAACCACAACTCTAGGCAACCTCTTCCAGTGCCTCATCACTCTCACTGTAAAATATTTTTTTCTTATATTTAACCTAAATGCACCCTCTTTAAGCTTGAAGCCATTTTCCCTTGTTCTATTGCCACAAATCTTGCCGAACAGTCTGTCCCCTTCTCTCCTGTAGCTCCCCTTCAGATTTTGAAAGGCTGCTATTTCACAGAATCACAATTTGATTGTTTAGAAGTGTAAAAAAACATCTTGTTTATAAACCCTTATTTTGTTTCCAAACTAAAAGTATGGTAAATTCCAGGCTTGACTTAATTGTTTTAGTAATACAGGTAGAAGCAAGAGTACTACCCTGACCCACTGGTGATCGAAGATGCAGAGAACAAGCTAAGCCACGTGCCTGTTCCATCTTCTTGAATCATAGATTATGCTGAGCTCGGAGGGATCCACCAGGATCACCAGGCCTAGCTCCACACAGGACCACTCAATTCCAAACCCTATATCTGAGAGCATTGTCCAGGTACCTCTTCAACTCCAGCAGGCTTGGAGCCAAGCTCCCTGGGGAGTCCATTCCAGGGCCTGACCACTCTCCATCATAAGGAAGAAAACCACAATTGCAATTGCCTTAAGAACTCCTGTAAGTCTAAATGCTAGATTTGGGCTGTTTCTTTACTCTGCTCACAGAACCCACTTATTCCTCAAGGGATTATGATTCTTTCTAGAGTTTCATTGCTCTTTTTCTCTAAACAAAACTAAGCGCAAAAGCCCAGTGCTTACAAGAGTTATTCTGTAACAACAAAACAATATGTGTGTGGGATGGGAGAAAGAATGATAAGGAAACAGTTCAGATTCTTACTTCCAAGAGGTTGCTATAAACACCAACAAATATATGTAAAGCAATGAAGAATGGACCATCTGTTCAAAAGTTTATCACAGTTCACAGAAGCAGCTGACTTCTCCAAAGCTCTCTTTCTGAAGTAGTTTTTCTTCATGCTCTGCCTCAGCCTTGTGGCTCACTCACCTTGGAGTCCCAGTTCTTATTCAGGTAATAAATACAGGTGATGCAGCGCCCATCGCCATTTGGGTTGTCCACATGACGCACATACCCAGTTCCATTTCCAGGATAACAAGCAACCATAGCCTGAAAAAAAGATAAAGATTGTAGAAAATTATTTCTTCAAGATGCCAACATTCATTTGTTCTTCCCTGAGCATCCTCCCATCACCCGTTTTGCTCAGCATTTTTCAAATTATATGTACAAAAGCTGCACCAGGAGGAATTTTCACACAAAAACCTTTTTCCACTGGGTAGATCAGCAATGTGAAATTCCAAACAGGAAATAGATAACCTTCATATTTCACAGTATATGCACCAAGACGAAAAAAAAAAAGCAACAGAAAAAAAAAAACAACTGATATTTATGATGCAATGTTTTTGTTCTCTACAAGCTACGTGACTTTGAAGCTGTTCGAGATAAAGTTTGCTTTAGTTTTTAAAGCTGAGCAGTCATTGCAAAACTGAATTGCCAGTCATAATGAATGTAGAAAGTGGTCTCAGGACATTATGCCTTACTACCTCCATCTTCTATTCAGATTTTCTGATCTCTGTCATATACATCCCGTTGATCCAACACAAAGTGAGGCTCCCCAGGAAGGGTGGGTGGAAGTCCACAGAGCAAAGTCTAACTCTTTTGTGCTGTGTTTGCACAGGGCAGCACATGTTTGCTTTCATAGACTGAGCCACAGAACTAACCAAACAGTTTTCAGAAGCTTTGATCATTTGCATAGCTGCTGAAACAATTATTTCATTCACCATGGAAATTTCACCTTGAATGATGAGATAATCTCAGTATGAATTATTCCAAACCACATGACTGAAATCAAGACGAAGGATCTTAAGAGGGCTTTTAACTTTTTCAAGCAGTTAACTTGAGTTAACATCATTAGCACCTAAAGAAGGGAAAAGCAGGAGAGACTACTGGTTGGATACAAGATTTTTGTCCCAGAGTCATTCCTTCACTACTGGAACCACTTGGTAGTGATACCAGTCACTTTCTATGGGGTTTGCTCTAAAAACAAGGCAATAGAAGTCCTGCTCCCACCCCCTCCAACATCTCCTTTCATTGCCAGTATTAGCAGCAAGAGTGATGGCAGATGACAGGATATATTCATATATCCAGATCCAGACTCAATATTTAGAAGTAGTCTCTCAGGGCTGAGTAGAGAGGGTGATCATACTCCATCTCTGTGGCTATGCCACTGCCTGGATGCTGCTGTGCAGGGGCACACCATAGGCTCCCTTTCAGCTTGCTGCTTATCGAGATCCCCAGAGTCTTCAGGTTTCCTTGGAGAGCAGAGCAGCCCCCCAGGAGCTCTTCCTTCACAAAGGCAGGATTTCACATTTGTCCATGTTGAATTTTATGAGAATGTTGCTGGACTGTTTCTCTGACATCCTAACTTTTTTATCCAAGGTCTTGTACATGCTTAATCCACAGGAAGATTATATGATTTTGCACCATTGGCGTGACCTGCCCTTAATAATTTGCCAAGCACGTTCAGCAACAGCATTGAAGATGCAGTATAGGCTTTACCAATAAAAACTGAAATTTACACCTAGGAATACCAGGGTTCTTGAATTTTGCTTCCTGGCACATGTAAAGCCATGCTGTTCATGGTACTGGGATTGGGGTAGAAGTCACTGTCAGCCAGCACAATGGATTCCTTGGACTCTCTGCTACCAGGAGCAGCATTTGGGTAGTTAGGATGTACACACACACTTACAGCTGTAAAAATACAGCTCTGCACTTCAAGTGATGTGTAAACTGGCTCTGCTTCTTCCCCATGAGGACCAGCAGAGTAGTACCTGCAGATAGCAGTAAGTCACAACTCACTCTGTACCCAGACACCTCAGGCAACCGATGCTTTGAGGCTGGTGCCTCATAGGGGGAGGGGATCGTATTGAACAACTGCAAAAACTTATAATTCTCAGCCCTCTCTTATCACACCTGGCACTTAGTGAGTTGCCTTGCCATCTATGCTGTCTGCTCTGTTGTCATTCTGGTCTACAAATGGCTTCACAGCTAAGCTTACACTTCACTATCAGCTTAAAGCAAAACACTGAAAATGAGTTCATAATAGGCTGTAGGGATGCTCTGATGAAGCCATACCCACACTGAGGGGGACAGTCCTCTTGCACACTCCCCATTCCAGCACAGCAACTCACGGAGGTGAGCTCTTAACCCATCGCATGACAAGTGAGCTGCATGAAGCCTAACAATTTAAATAACTCTTCTCTAAACCTGGTCCCTGCATGTCTGGAACATGACCCCAGCAGCTGAGAGGGCAGGAAAGGGGGCAGAGGCTTCCGGTAGCCAGGCAGCAGGCCAAGAGTGGGATGCAGGCCTTTCTCACAGACAGCACAGGTGCCACCAGGGAGATGCAGCCTATGCGACAAGATTACTGAAGTGCCCCCAGAACTACCCAATGCTACAGCTATTAAACATCATAATAAAAAAGGTGCTGGAGAATAACATACTTCAGGCTAGATCCTTAAAGGGATTTAGGTGCTTTGCTTACCACTGAAATCTGGGCATAATGCCAGAGTTTTCCCTCACACGGTATGTTCTGTTAGCAAAACTTGTGCTTCAACTTGGAGACAATGATGCATTATTTACCACAGGCACCTTTTGCAACCACAACACACAAAGCCCCTAGGGATCAACCAGCAGAACAGTTCCCACAGAATCCAAGAGCTCTGGCCTTGCTATAACTTAACTTCAGAAATTTTGCTAGTAGCAGCAAAGGGAGAAAAGCAGAAGCTCCTGGCATGGAGAATATTTGAACAAAACCTTAAACAATGAAGGGAAATCATTCTGGTCCTCCTAAAACTACATCAGGCTTTATCAGAGAACTGGCTGGAGCAGCTCCAAAGCATATCAAGCTCACTTCAAGAGGGACTCCAGCTGTTAGCACTACTTTTGAATTCATTCAAAGCAAGCAAGAAATAGCAGATGAGCTGCATAACCCAGAATTAATTTAAGTAATTGGTAAACACTGGTATTTGCCAGTTAAGTGGAGGGACTGCAACAAAAGCTGGAGGGTGGATCATGGTAATTAAGCCATTCACCCCTCAGGTAAGGGAGCATCAATTAAAACTTCCTTTTACTGTTGTGCCCACAAGAGTGCACTGCTTTTTGGGGAGCACCTCTTTTCATCAGCCAATTTCAATCCTAAACTAACTCCAGCAGATAGCAGGAAGCAGAAACATACCTAACTTCTTTTATTTGGCAATACAATCCATGGGCATAACTTCCCACAGTAAGCACCAGAGGAAATTTCTTCAGCTACTCATCTTATTTCGAGTTAAAATAGATGGATTTGCCTTATCAACAGCTGAAATTTAAGATCCAACATGTACGTGCATACACTTGCAATCACATATACACACTGTATTTTGAAGACCAATACTCCAATGGGTCATAAATTAAAGCCTACAAAAATTAGACAATAAAAAGCAAATTATCAACACTTCAGTTTCTGCGCTGTCATTATCAGAGATGTTAGGCATCCCAAGAGGGTGCAAAGCAACCACCTGTTAAACAAGCAGTAATCAGCAGCTTTAGTAAGGAGCCAGGAATCATCAGGAAGCGCCACTCTGCATAGAACTTGTGAAAGTAAGTTATTCACCCTTCATTTTTAAGTATTATGCTCAGGTCAACCAGAAAAATCTGCAAGTCAAATAGCAAGACATCAAATAGCAAAATTTAGAGATGGATAAAAAAAACAACAGTTCCACAGAGAGATTTTTTCCCTGCTTTCCAATGCTTCTAGTAAGGAAAAAAAAACATGTTCTCTTAGCTGATAGCAAGGACCATGCTGTGAGACATCATTCTGGTACATTTCAGAAAACAAGCAGCACTGGAGTGAACTGATACTTGGAACAAAACACTTTGGAAAACACCTCAGCTAGAAGATGCACAAAGCTGAACAGGAGACCACAATGGCAGCGAGTAAGGAGGAGATGCTCTCCTCGCCTACTGCTCAGCCACAGCCCTCTCATGCTCCTAGGGTCGTTTGCACAGGTGCTGCTGCAACCCACACTGATCTCAGCCTTTCCTTTCAGAGTTAGTAATCTGCAACTACAGAGAAGTGACCTGTGTATCTCCACCCTGCCAACACACATGACCCATTAACTAAAAACTTTAAAATTTGTTTTTTCCATTTGCTGCACCAGAGTCTTGGATACTGTTGAACAATTACCACTTTTAATCCCTAGATGACCTCTGTAGATGAATCTGTAGATGACCTCTGCATACAGCTCATGCATCAAACAGTTAAATTAAGAACTCACTTGTAAATTCTGTCAGATGAAACGAACAACTGTACAGACAGAAAGCAATGCTGACCCAAAATACTGCTATAGTGGCTGTCTGGAAAACCAAGCTACTAAAAAGAATTAAACGATGTTACAACCAGTGCAGCTTTCAGATACATTTTTATTTGGCTGCACGCTTCCAAATTTCCAGAATTTCAGTTCAATATGAGGTTGCTAACCTTCAACTCAAGTGACAACAAAAATCACTTTATCAAAATTTAGGAAATGAGGATTACTGGGGTTCACTTGATTGACTTAGGTCTGAGTGCATATTGTACTCAAACCACTTTTAGTTTGCCGACAGTCTGTACAGCCAGAAAGCATAAGGCACACAGCATGCTCCACATTAAAAGAACATGAGTAGTCTGACATTTGATGATCAAAGATGAGAGATTCCCAGTTGAGGCTTGTCTGATACAGGCACAACAGGATGTTTATTAAGTACTCTCTTGTTGCACCCAATTGTGCTCAAGTGTTTGTTGTTTTTTTTAAACTGTGTAACACATAACAGTTTAGTATAAAAAAAATTCATGAACATTATTAAATGCTAGTTTATTTGAATTTATGAAAGTTAAAACACTCAACAACTATGAACTATGAAAATCGGTCTAATTTATTACCCTGTAGAGATGGTTGGGAACAAAGAGAAGGAAATTACATTAAAATAAAAATAACAGAGACATTTGCCTCACGCCTAGTGGAAACAGAATCATCAGTTCCAAGGGGCAAAAGCCTGCTCACTTCATTCACAGAAATCACAAAATGGGC